GTGGGGCCTGAACTCTGGGCCTGGGCGCTGTCCCTCAGCTCTTCAGCTCAAGGCTAGTGCTCTACCACTTGAGCCACAGCACCACTTCCAGCTTTTTTTTTTGTTTATGTGGTGCTGAGGAATCGAACCCAGGGCCTTAGGCATGCAAGGCAAGCGCTCTACCACTGAGCCACCTTCCCAGCCCCAGTATGAAGCTTTCTGTATAAAATGTCATAGCAGCCATGCATTAGTGATTTAGGCTTATAATCCTAGCTACTCCAGAGGCTAAAATCTGAGGCTCAAGGTTCAAAGCCAGCCCAGGCAGTAAAATCTTTAAGACTTTTATCTTCAATTGACTACCTAAATAAAAGCCAGAAGTAGAGTTGTGACTCAGAGTGGTAGAGCACTAATCTTTTAGCAAAACAAGCTCAAGGACAGCACCTAAGCCCTGAGTTCAAGCCATAGAACTGGCACAAAAATTAAAAAAAAAATAACTTAAATACATAAAATGCCACAGAAAAAATGGAAGGGATGTCTTTGAGATGCAGGGGGTAATCTGAGTCAATAGACTATACGCACACACATCCGTCTCAAATGTTAGAACAGTAAGTATCAAAGACTTGGTAGGTAAAGGTGTTCTGATTCATATAGAAGGGTTTCATGGACTTAATTGATTATTTCCAATTCTGTGGTGGCAGGCAGAAAAACAAGCTGGTGAAGACATGGTTGAATTAGGCAGCAAGCAAAGGCACCAGATGTTGAGTAGTAATAAAGAAGTGCTTCTGCGGAGACTGAGCTGTTTGACCCGAGAGAACATGACTAAACTGAAGGAGAGTGAGGCCCGGGTCTCAGAGCAGCAATGCAGCCTCCAGAGGATCATCACTGAGCTGGAGAAGGAGTGCAAAGAACCTGCCTCATCACTACTGCAGGTATGAGCCGGGAAAGAGAAGGGGTTCAGCTCTTAGGGAACCTTCCCAGAATGCCAGGTTAGTGATCTCCCACCATACACCAAGACTCAGCAGCCATTGTCCATTGGCTGAAGGCATTCTGCACACTGTTGGTGGGAAGGTGTACTACTACTAGTCGAGCCGTTGTGGGAAACTGGAGAGGTTTCTCAACTAAAAATACTACTATCACATAATCCAACAACAGTGTATAGACACGGTTCATAACAGCACCCTCCACTCCCCCAAGATAGAAGCAACCTAAGTTTCCATTATCACTTGATGAATGGCCTAAAAAAAAAAAATGTGGTGCCTTCACTCAGCAGTATACTCTTCAGTCATAAAAAGATGAAATCATGCGGGTCACCAATGGCTCATACTTGTAATCCTATCTAATCAAGAGGCTCAGATCTGAGGATTGAGGTTCAAAGACAGCCGATGCGGAAAAGTCCGTGAGACTCTCATCTCCAATTAACCGCTCAAGAAACAAGAAGTCAGCTCTGTCTCAAAGTATTAAATGCTAGCCTTGAGCAAAAGGAGCTTAGAGACAGGGCCCAGGCCCTGTCCTTATTTCTAAAAGAGTCCTTATTTGTTCATTCCTATTTGTAACAAGTTGGGTTGAATTGGAGGTTATTAGGTTAGGTGAAATAAACCAGGGAATGAAAAATGAACGCCACTTCACTTTGTGGAATCTGGTGGTCACCAACGTGAGAGAGGACAGCATTGGGAAAGTTGGCTAATGAGTGCTAAATTATAGAGAGAAAGGTATAAGAAGTTCTAGTGTGTTCTTAAACAGAGTGGCTACAGAGAATGATAATATATTCCATATTAAAAAGATTTTTATTTGGGGGAATGGGAATGTGGTCGAGTAGTAGAGTGCTTGCTCAGCATGCATGCATAAAGCCCTGGGTTTGATTCCTCAGTACCACATAAACATAAAATAAATGAGAGAAAAACATATTTTTATTTTTTCCTTTTTGAACTCAGGGCTACACACTTGCTAGGTAGGCAACTCTACCTCTATACCTTTGATTATTTTTTAAGCTAAAGTTGTACTCTTTGCCTGACCTAGACCAGATCACAATCCTTTTTCAGACCAAACCTGAAATGACAAGTGTGTACCACCAGGTCCAGCTATATGATTGGGTGAAATGGGGTTTTGTAAACTTCTTTATCTGGGCTGGCCTGGAACTGCACTCCTCCCAGTCACAGACTCTTAGGTAGCTAGGATGACTAGTGCTAGCCACCACACCCAGCTTGAATGGTTTTACTATCAAGAACTGATAAATGTGGGGTGGCTGTGTGGTAGTTTACGCCTATAATCCCAGCTATTCAAAAGACAAAGATCAGGAAGCTCATAGTTTGAGGCTAGCCAGCCTATCCCCCATCTCCTCATTAAAAAAAAAAAAAAAAAGAAAGAAATGAGACTCTTATCTTTCAACTAAGCTGGGCAAAGGTTCACAAATGTAACCCCAGCTACATTAGGATGTATAATTAAGAAGATGGTGATTTCAGGCCAGTCCCCCCAAAAAACATGAGATCTTACTGAAAAATAACTAAAGAAACAAAGAGAGGAAGCATGGCTTGAGTGGTAGAGCACCTGCCTAGCACTTCAGGGCTTTGAGTTCAAACCCCAGTACCTCTAAAAACATTTTTTTTGAGAAAATAGATTTAAACATTACTATATATACATATATATGTACAGTTTTTGTTTTTATGCATTGGCTGAAAGTAAATTTAACTGTGGAAAGCTTTGTGAATGGCTATAAAAGTATACTTAATGGAGTGCTACTTCCTGAAAGGTGTTCTCATACTTTAAAATTATCAACAGGAAGTTTGAATTGATACGGTGTGATACATCTATTCAATGGGATGGTCTACAAACCATAAAAACGTAATCACTTCTTTGGAATGGGATGGTCTACAAACCATAAAAACGTAATCACTTCTTTGGATGCTAAAATAATACCTTGTGATAATTTCATTTACTGGAAAGAGAAAAATGCGGAATGGCTTTTTCATTGCATTTTATGGGGAAAATAATACATGGAAGTATGTAAGGATTTCCCACACTCACAGATTTTTCTCTGGAAGAAAACAAAACAAAGAGAATCCAAAATCACAGGCACAGTAACCAGCAGGTTTATAGTATTACTGCAGGGAACAAGTGGCTTTCCTTGAGATACAAGGGTGTAAGTATTTGCTGGGTGTTGAATATTTGTATGTTCCCAGGAATTGATGTATATGTACATACATACATCATGCATGCATGTATGCATATATATGTTGATGTCCTCACCTTGGAGAGAATGGTCATAATAGATAGAACTTTGGGTGCTGATGGTTTATTGGCTTCTGGGGGAGCTCTCCTGAATGAGTACTTAAATTTAATACCTCTTAAATGCCACCAAAAGCCTTACCCCTGTTTTACCATCAAGGTTAGATTGAGGTCAAAGCTGTCTCACCAGGCACCAGATGTAGCCAGGACTTTGATCTAAAAGTTCTCAGGCTCCAGACTACAATAAGATATATAATCTACTATTATGTTATAGCAGCCTGAGCAGACAATTTTATGTTTAACATTTTAAAAACTATCTTTTTTTTTTGTCAGTCATAGGGCTTGAAATCTGGGCCTGGGTGCTGTCCCTGAGCTCTTCAACTCAAGGGGAGTGCTCTACCACTTGAGCCACAGTGCCACTTCTGATTTTCTGGTGGTTTATTGGAGATAAGAGTCTTACGGATTTTCCTGCCTGGGCTGGCTTTGAACCATTATCCACAGATCTCAGCCTTCTAAGTAGCTAGGTTTATGGGCGTGAGCCACCAGCTTTGAAAGACTACTTATATCCCTTTTTCAGGTCTATGTAATGGACTAATTTGAAAAGCCTATCTCTTAGTTAATTACACTTAACTATAAGCTCAGCACCCATAAACATTGCTATTCAAGAGGCTGATATTTGAGGATTATGGTTTGAAGCCAACCTAGGTGGGAAAGTATATAACAATTTTGTCTCTAATTAACCAGCAAAAAACCAAAAGTGGAGCATTGATTCAAGAGGTAGAGCACTAGCCTTGAACACAAAAGCTCAAGGACAGTGACTAGGCCCTGAATTCAAACCCCAGAATAGGGTACAAATTATGTGTGATTGTGTGTGTGTGTGTGTGTGTGTGTGTATACATATATATATGTACATACATATATATATTTCTAAAGCTATTTAGATATGTTGATGTTTGTATATCAATTCAATTCTAAAGCCAAGCTTATTTCTGAATGTGAGCAGGTGTGACCCAATTATACTCAGCTCTTCACTTGGCCTTACTATGGTGTTGGTCTAGTGGGCACCTCCATCTGCTTACATCTTACCATTCTAACAAAGAACACAAATATGTGAGCAATTCTAAAAGATGACTGTGCTGAATCAGATGGTTGAGGTGAGGTAGAGGCAAAATGTTTTGCCTAAGAATATAGCAAAGGCATTTTGAGCATTATTTCTGATGTTTTCTTAATCCATGTTAATATTTGATATTTAAAAATTGGCACTCTGAGTCTGAAGAAATTCCAAGGAAATATAAAGTTCATATTATAAGGGTGAATGTTTTCATGGGTTCCACACTTAAAATGCTTGGCTCCAATAGGACAGCCATAATAACTTTGTTTCTTTTCCCCCCCAGAATGCAAGATATAATTTAGAAAGGTAAGTTTTCATTTGGAGATACTGAATCTGAATCCAGCATATATATATACTCAGCATACATGGGTTGGGTATGCTGGGGAGGGATGGGGAGGGAACTGTGGCCTGTACACGTAACTGAGATTGTCATTTATTTTTCAACAGGAGTGAGTCACTATTGCTTCAGTGCCTAAAGTCTGCTCATATCACAGACCTGAGTTCTTGCCAGATAAAAGGAATGAGCAAAATGCTAGCAGTGTTCCAAAGTGAGTTGACACATGTCCACAACTATAAGTATGTTTGAGAACCAACTGATCATCTTACCACAGATGAAAGTAGATTCTAGGCCGGGTAACAGTAGCTCATGAGATGTAGACCTTGTAGTTCGAAGCCAGATCTCTGTCCAAGTAACCAAAAACATTCCAGACTGAAAGTTTGGCTTAAGTAGTAGTACAGTGTCAGCTGTGATGGTGTCAGTGGTTGTGTATGCGTGTGTACAAGTGTATTGAGGATTCAAACCACAGTCTCTTTGCACATATAACCACTGAATTACACTCCCTGATTCTACACTCTATACATACTATTATTTCTGTTAGTCTTTTAAAGATGCTTGCCTAGCATGCATGAAGACCTGAGTTTGATTCCTCAGTACCACAGAAAACAGAAAAAGCCAGAAGAAATGCTGTGGCTCAAATGGTAGAGTGCTAGCCTTGAGCAAAAGAAGCTCAGCCTGGGCTGGGAAGGTGGCTCCGTGGTAGAGCGCTTGCCTTGCATGCCTGAGGCCCTGGGTTCGATTCCTCAGCACCACATAAGCAAAAAGAAA